CAAAGCCTGGCTGAAGGAGTAAATGAGGGCTGGGGGCATCATCAGCATATCTAAAACTGAACACCATAAACTTCCCCCTTTCGTTGGATGGATGTCAGTTATATTATTTGCTTGGGCTTTCTAAATACCGATTTCTTTTCTTTTCTTTTTTTCTTTTTTAAGCCTCTTTGGCCTCCAAACAATCTCCAAATCTTTCTGGTTCTTCCTTTTGTTTCCATCTACTCTCATCAACACTCCTGTCTCTATCACCCCATATCAGGTGCCCCTTATTTTATTTCTGAATAATGACCACAAGCACCATCCCATCTGTCCCTTCCACTTTCATACATTTCTTCAAGTTAACCTTTTTTCTTGGAATATTCTATTATCCCTGTTTATCCAAACCACACCTCACCTCTAAAAGCAACCATCTCCTCTTGTTTCTCATTGAAATATCCCTCTCTGCTCTAAGTTCTGGTAGCCTGGCTTTATCTACTTTCTGACAACAGCTTACATTTACTTCTGTGCATCCCCGTGCTGGTACATCTGGTCTCCACAACACTCTTGAGAGGAATCTAACAGTGCCCGCATTGTACAGATGGGAGAAATGAAGCTCACCAACATGAATTAACCTGTCTAAGGTCACGCAGCTGGCTGTCTCCATCTTACCGCCTTACCCCAAGTAAAACATCAGCTTCTATAAGTGCGAAGAGATCCTGTTGAATCTTTTTTGCATCACAGATGGTCTTAGGTATTGCTCTACAAATAATAAGCATTCAAATAGCGATTAGCTTTAATGGCCCCTTTGTCCGTATTGTTCTTTAATAGGGAGAATGGAGAAGAGGATAATTGGGTAGAAAAAGAGCACTAAACCATCCTTTCATTTTTTTTTAATGGAACAAAGTGAGGCATAGTCTGGGGAATGAAGCAAAAGTCACCAAGCCTGGTAAATGTACAGAAATGCCCATGGATTCCCCATTTTTAAAGTATATTGAAGTTGAGTTTGAAGAAAACGAGAATTTTTCTCTTTTCTTACACACATTGTCCCAGCTCTCCAGAAATCTGCAGGATTCAAAAAATTATCTAGGTAAATATTAAAATGCTCACTACAATAACGATGCTAGAATAGCCAATGGCCACGTAAAAACACTAGTGCATTTCAGTGGAAATCCATGACCAAGGCGTGAAGTTGTGAGTGACCAGAGGCACACGCTCCATTTCTAGAGACCGAGCCTGACAGAACATCTACCTGTTGGCCGGGGTTAAGGTCCCAGGGGTGGGAGAGGCCTTGTGAGCCCTGTTGCCCTGCAGGCCCCTCTTTTCTGAAGATTCAATGGGCATTTGCAAAAACTTTTTTAAGGCTGACTCTTAAACCAGGAGTGACACAGGATGGTGTCAGTGCTGGTAGTGTTTATACGCCAGTCGGTCATTATGTGCCGTATCGCGTCACCTCAAGGTGTTCTCAGGGTAGCTCATTCTTCTACCATTTGGGTAAAATAAAACTTTAAAATATGCATAATTCTCAAGCTGGAAGAAATCTAGGATTATTTGATTCAAACCTTTTATTTTACACCTGAGGTGACCCAGAGAAGTTAAGTGATTTGCAGAAGGACACGCTTCTAATTTATAACCAGAAAACCCACCAGGAGACTTTTCCTGTAGTTCCTATATAATCATTCTAGTCAGGGCCATGGATGTTAATGTAAGGACTTAGTCACGTTAATGTATCAGGTCCAGCTAAATTGCCAGTGGGAAATGACTTGAGCAGATTCAAGCAAAAACACCATGTTTTCTCACTTTTCTGGTGCACACAGCTTGGTGTTCCTCACATTGGAACGGGGATTGGGCTCCAGAGGAGCCTGGGATGCTCTCTCTCTTGTGCCTGCTTTGGTCCTTGATTCCCCGTTAGCTCCCTCAAGATCAAAATGTGTCCTTCCCATGCTAAGGGCTAACTGCTTATTATTTTTCCTCCGTGAAACTTCAGAAGGACTTTGGGATACAGGTACAAGAATTACAGTTAGCTCTGTTTTGTAGATGAGGTTACAGAGGTAGTGGGTGGCAAAGCTGTGGTGAGGAACCCGATCTATCACAGCCTGAAAGCTGTGTAATCTTTGGCAAGTTATGTCAATGCTGTCACTCATTTGCCTCCTCTCTAAAATGGGGTGATAATAAGGTGGACCTCATAGTGTCGTTGTATTAATGAGATAATTAAGTAACTAACCAGTTTAGTAGACCAATGCCTGTACTACACAATCACTGTGTAAATGTGTTATTATTTGTTCTTACTATTTTCCCCCTCAGCTGCACTGCCTCTTCTTACCTGTCTTGCTCCTGGTACAACATAGCCTGACCCTGCGTCATGACCTCTTTGCTCAACCAACTTCTGTGGTTTCAACCTGTGCTGTCAATATGGTAGCAGCTCAGAACCTGTGGTTTCTGAATTCTTTCTTTTCTTTCTTCTTTCTTTCTTTCTTTCTTTCTTTCTTTCTTTCTTTCTTTCTTTCTTTCTTTCTTCCTTCCTTCCTTCCTTCCTTCCTTCCTTCCTTCCTTCCTTCCTTCCTTCCTTTCCTTTCCTTTCCTTCCTTTTTCTTCCTTCCTTCCTTCCTTCCTTTTCCTTCCTTCCTTCCTTTTCCTTCCTTCCTTCCTTCCTTCCTTCCTTCCTTCCTTCCTTCCTTCCTT